ATTTGACCGCTTCGTTTAGTGCAATATTGGTATTATTGTAATTGGTCAGAAAAACTGGAGCGATTATCCGGTAAAATCCATTTCCTTTCACAACTCTTCAGTATCTATTTTATGAAAAATATTGATTAAATCAAACGGAAAATTACCAATTACGGAAGCACAGCAAAATCTAACATATAGTCAGATGTTCCAAATTAAAACCCTAAAGCTTTTAGCATCCCATAGTGAACCACTTGTTTTAATTAACATTTTTTGCAAAAAAAAAATGTAAAATGAATGTCTATTTCTGGGTTGAATTTAATGTGATTCAACCTTATCTTGTGCTTCTGTGCCGAGATTAGATTCTTTGATTAGTATGAATTTCTCCTTGTTTTCCAGTAAAAGTTTGTTATCATCCATCATCAGAACGTAAACAATCCTTCAGCGAACACTGAGTGGTCCACAAAAACGTAATGATGACTTCAACTTTGAATGCAGATTGCATGGAACCAATATATTTGACTAGTTAAAGTATCAGGTTAACGTTCACCTTATTAATAAACAGTTTAAAATCAACAATGAATAGTACATGAATCTAGTGACAGCTAATAGAGGATCCAAAATAGGGAAATTAGTACTACTTCTTTCCGAAGTAGTTAGTTATAACAGTTGCTTTCTTCTTGTTGACTATTTCCTCCATGCTGTCAGCTGCTCGTTTTTGCGACGCTTGCTTTTTGCGCACTGACTCGACACCATCAAGCATGGCTTGAGCCAGCTCTATTTCAGCCATATCCTTGTTTTTGCATAATTTTCTAAAAATTGAAGTTTGGACACACAATTAAACACACAAAAATCATCGATTCACAAATCGCCTCGTTATTCAACAATGCTCCATGGAATCATTTTTACATGAAAAAGGTTGAACATAGCCACTGCACCAAAAAAACACATAAAAACTATTGATATGGACTCAAACTATTGAAACAAAAACAGGTCTTTTCGTGCAACTCACTTTTTTTTTACATTTTTTCCGATTCTTCTCTTAACTCAAGTAGGTGTCGCTACCGTACACGGAGAACAAATTCGTTAAGTTAAGATAACAATCCTAATAGTTACTTTCACATGGAAAAATATTGTTGTTTGAAAGAAACCTATAGATATTCCAACATTAATTTGACCGTCAACTCAATAATATCTACCTAACAGATTCAACTGTTCATCTTATACTCAATTCAACTATAACTTTGATCAATTATAACAACTGTCAAATGTAATTTAATTGTATAATTTGGTTTCAAATGATCATCATAAATCCACACACTTTTACCTTGTGATGCGTAGAGCAGGCGATAAGATAGCTGGCTCTCACGCAGATGAACACGGTTCAACTCTTAGTTCACCTTTTTTATGATTTTGCAGTTGTGTTTTTGAGATCGATAAAGAAGAAAAACATTAAGGAAGTTTGTCGATAATGAAGAGCAGTTCGTTTAATAAACATTGTAAAATTTTGCTTCCCTAACAATAGTTTTCTTGAATCAACTAAAGCATAGTTGTATTTGGAAGTTTGACATTTGTCCATCTACTGAAAAATATAGTTGAACCAATCGAGGAGCCAACTATGGACTATAGTTGTTGCCCTCTATATATAGTCAAATCAACTATAGTTTCGGGTTATCTCTAAAACAATTGAACAATATAGTTATTTTGAACGGAAAAATAATTGCGTCTGCTATAATTTGTTCTCCGTGTACAACAACATCCCCGTATTCTAAAGATATTTTATTTTGGTGCAACACTTAGTTTTTCTCAAAAAAACAAAACAGTTTAGTTACACTTAACCAATTATGTTACTGTACAAACTCACTTATATTTTTCCCACTGAGAAGATGAATAATCCTTCATTATGTGAAATTAATTTATTAAAATTATTTAATAGCTTTATAAATGTTCTTATTTCTTAGACTTCAACGAAACATGGAGTACACGACAATTTTAGAGGGAAGCCCTCAGAACTTTATGGAAGTACTCATCACTTCAAGAAGTTCCATAGATATTAATGAAGTTCAGAGAAGATCATTGGGAGAACTTCAAAATTATTTAAGAACCTAGCGTCAGTTTATTTCAACAATATATAGTTTAAAAAAAATCTCAAAAGTTAAGAGCAATTTGAAGGGTTTATTGAGAATCCTCCAGCATGTTATCTTAACTCAAAGCCTTAAGAGAAGATCATAAGTTTTCAGAAAGTTTTAAAGAACTTCAGGTAAATTTTGGAAATTTTAAAGATTTTCCTCAAATTTCAGAGAAGTCCTAAAAACTAATGAATTTTACAGAATTTTAAAGAAGCTTAAAAGTTTCATAGAAGATCCTAGAACATCAGAGAAAGTTTAAGAATTTCAGACAACTTTATATATTGAGAGAATTTCTCCCAGCTTCTAAAAATATTAAACAACTTTTAGAATCTGCCAGCATTTCGAAGAAGTCTAAACTTTTTTTTTAATCCTTTGGAAATTTTTTATAATTTCAATAATGTTCAAAGCATATAAAAAAGTTCCCTGAATCTCAAAGAATTCCAAAGAACAAAATATTTCAAGACCAAACTAACTAAAGAGAGGGTTATAGTTTTTCATTCAATATCGCAGAACATCAAGGAAGTTTGAGGAACTTGGCAGAATATGTCAGAAGTTCAAAAAGCTCTTTGAGCTTCAGAGAAGTTTATTGATTTTAAGGACGAAGGGGTAGGGGGTCTTGAATTATTAAAAAATGCTACGCTAGAAGAATGCTCCTTTAGAAAATGTGGGAATTCAGGAAAATTTCATAGAACTTTAAATTATTTCCCAGAACTTCAGATAGTTTCATTGCACATCAATTTTGTTTTTCGGATTGAAGTTCTAGTTCAATTAGTCCAAATACTTAATATAAGAACACCAAGCTTCTCCAAAGCTGCTAAAAATCAAAAGAAGCTCCCAGAATTGTAGAGAATACGAAAAATCTCACAAGAATATCCCAGCATTTTAGAGAAGTTCTCAAAACGTCATAGTACCTTCAAGTACTTCAGAGGATTTTCCAACATATACCAGGTTCAAAATAATGCACAATATATCTAGCATAAAACAAAATTTACAACACCGGTGTTGTGGTTTTTTTTATAGTTCTAAATAAACCGAAACCAGGATTTAGGACTACGTTGAAGAAGCCCGTAGAAATGATGGAATCGAAAACAACTAAAAATACACTAACGAAAAACCAAAAGCAACATTTCGAACGCTAGGCAACGCTAGGGACACTTGATAATGTGGGACGTTTTGCAGGACATTTGGTAATGCGGGACAGGAAGGCGAATCCGGGACGTCTTGTCACTTTAGCGTATTCCTTACGAGGCAAGAAAAAAGTGCGCCGAACACCTCAAGCCGATGCAATGCAAAAGCGCAGTTTTACTTTTACGACCATTTCCGCCATTTGGAAAGCTACCGAAAAAATAGTTTAGTTAGGTGAGAAATGCACAATAAAAAACGCACTAGGTGGGGTTATGTTTTATGAAATTCCTCTTGTCGTTGTTTTCACTGCGGAATTTTATTTTATTAACGAATAAAAGAAAGCGGACACCTCATTGTTCGGCGGTATGTCTGGGCGAATTCGCCAGAAAGAGTAAAAATAACATTAATCTCACTCATCTTCATATGCTAGAACTCTTTACTCCTTGTGTGAATCATTCGTATTCATTCACTCCACAGAAAATCCCCATAAGGATCTGTCAACCTGTGCGCCATATTTCGTAGACCCGAATATAAGTGAACTTCAGTCAACATTTAACCTGTCAAAGCGAAAAAGAATTAACCGATATTCCTAAACAGAGCTGAGTGCTATAAATAGGTGCACTGAAAAAGATTGTATGGTTTAAAAAAGCTTTTTTTTCAAGAAAAATATTGTGCGTTCTTTATTGAGCGCCTCCTTCGCTTTAAAAAAAGTGACTTTAGTGACTTTTTGACGAAAATAGAGACTTTGAAGTGACCACCTTAAAAAAAGTGACAAAGTCACTAAAAAGTGACCCGCTATCAGCCCTGCAATACGTATAACGGCGCCGGTGGTGTAGTGGTAAGCGTGATTACCTCTCACCCCAGCAGGCCTGGGTTCAATCCCAGTCGGCGCCGCCGGGATGTTCTAAGGCATAACATCTCTGATCACGCCTTCCTTCCTTCGGATGGGAAGTAAAGCCGTTGGTCCCCGGTTCATGAGTTGATGGGTCGATAGGTAGGGTCCAGGTGTGGGAGCTGCCTTCCTGGCACGTCGGTAGCATTGGTGCTCAGCACGGAAAACAAGATCGACGGAAAAACAAACCAAAGGAAAAAAAATAAATAAACAATACGTCCACACTGGGACTTAACGCTGGCTCTAAACTTAGTGTCCTTTAACCCTTATGTGCGCGAAGATTGTTTGCATTTTTCTACACCATGTTATTCAAATCAGAACTGGAAACCCCGGTATCCCGCACATAATGGTTAAGCAATTCCACAGTAAAAATGAGCGCTTTCTAAAACTGAGGCTGTGATTCATTGGATGAATTTTCACTTAAATTTGACAGATTACTTTTTTTCAAATAAACCTGCTATTTTACCAGACTTAATTTTTACAAACACCTTCTCGAAAATCGGTCGATCAACAACAGAGGGATTTTCGAACATTTTAATTTAATTTCGAAGTGTCAAATTTAAGTAAAAATTCATTAAATGGATCACAGCCGCAGTTTTAGAAAGCGCTCATTTTTACTGTGGAATTGCTAAGCCAGTACAATTTTTGAATTAGTATGTTTTTGTGTGGCAAGTACAATCATACTTTATGCCCAGAGAAGTCGAAAAAATTTCCAACTCGGATAATTCCTCGACCGGACCGGAAATCGAACCTAGTCGCCTCCAGCATGGTCTTGCTTTATAGCTGCGCCTTTACCCACTGAGTTAAGGGATGCAACAAGAGGCTTGAATGTCATATCTGAATATAGCAACAGCTGGATGATTCGTATGAACGCGGGGAAACCCTGACTGTTATTTTTTTTCCCACTCATATTGGCCCTCTCTTGTTCCGTCTGAGAATAATAAAACAGAACAAAATCTGCTTAATCAGCTCAGTGGTGGGATGGTCCAAAGAGGTAGTCAACCTCGGACTAACCCTAGACTACAAGCTGATTTTCAGGGAGCACATTGGCAAAACGAATACCAAGTGCAACTTCTTGATAAGATCACTGTATCCTCTTAACAGGAAGTCCACCCTTTCGCTGAAAAACAAGCTTACTATCTACAAACAGATCATTCTTTCAGTTATTGAATAAGGCATGCCAACCTGGAAGAGTTGTGCTAAGCGCCACCATTTTAAACTTCAAAGGATCCAGAATAAGATCCTTAGAATGATCCTAAACAGTACTGCAAATCCTGACGTCCACCGTCTGGATGTTCTCCAGACACTGGATGAGCGGAGAACAATCTTCGTGGAAAGGTTCAGAATTTGCTGCGGACGATCCGATCAACATATCAGGGATCGGGCACGAATGTTAAGTTGGTAGAAATTAACAAATAAAAAAACACGCTGTCTAAATAAGTTATATGCCTATGTAAAATAATAAGATCCAAATCAAACTTAACAAAGATCAAGAGCTGTACAGAATCATATGAAATAAAAAATCATATTCAATTAATTTGAAATTTGTCGTTTTATTGGTCACGATAGCGATCGTTAGTATAAATTGTGTATCTGGTCAAGGATGAAACTGTAGGAAAATATTACAATAAGATCCAGTGGAAATAAAACATCGTTTAGTAGTAGAAGAAGCATTTTCAGATATAAATTAAGTTGCCAATATAGTTCATATGGTGGTTGGCTATGCTGCGTATGATTATTGTAAATAGATAGGCCTAATCTGTGCGGCATGTGAGGGGAGGTGACAGTGTGACAATTGTCACCTCAGGTGAGGTGACTCTCAATTTGATTTGCACGGAGTCTTCACAAATGACAGCGTGTCACCTCAGCTCACACGCCGCGCAGAATAGGCCTAAAGGCCCAAGCGCAAGAACAGTGGAGAAGCCCGATCTGAGTAAGCCTACTTGCCGGATTTAAAACTAGTTAAAACGGAATCGACTTCGGTTAGGCATCTTGATGCCATTTGTGACTGTCAAACTTGCCGTTACCGTTCCGCTTCCGCCCACATTGCGTTTGGGCCTTAAGAATTTAAAATCTATGAAACAGAGTTTTAAAAATCTGTCTCAATTACATTGTTTGTTGTTTCCAATGTGTTCACCGAAAAGCAATGCATGTTCCAAAAAATTAAACAAAAACAGTGCAGCCAGTATGATCCTGAAACATCTCAGTGTGAATAAACTTCTAATTTAACCAGAAATAGAGCATCTAAGCACAGGTGTTATTTTTAAAAACTTACCTGGACGTCCCAGCACAACGTAGAAATCCAGACCGTAGATACCGATCGATGGGTCGTACTTGATGCCCAGATCGATATGTTCTTGGATACCGAAACCGAAGTTGCCGGTCTGGGAGAAATTGTCGCGTCTCAACTCATATTCACGCACCTTCAGACCACGTTCAAGGATTTCCTCGGCCTTGGCACCACGGACAGTGCAGTGAACAGCGATCTTTTCATTACGGCGAATACCGAAGGAACGGACGGTATAACGAGCCTTCGAGTAAACTGGGGTCTGACCGGTCAGCTGCTCCAACACCTTGGCGGCACGGGTCAGCCTATCACCAGATTCACCGACGCAAATGTTCAGGCAGAGCTTGCGGATACGCAGATCGCGCATAATATTTTTGGACTTGTCCTTTGAAGCGATCGTTTTGGTGGCCTAAAATAAACAAATTTTATTTACGAATCGTTGCAAATGGTGAACATTATTTGTCTTCAGTCCAATAGCCGAACATCCATCCGTGGTCCATTCCTCGGCATGAAACGCTTACCATTTCTGAAAGTAAATAAAAGTGACAATGCCTACATTAATATCCCATAGGTTAGAGGGAAGCTAAACTTGGAAAGGCCTTATTTCTTGGAGAATATCACTTTTCTGCCAAAACTCCACAACAGCACGGTAGTATGAACTTTTTATTTTCTAGTAGTGACATTTTCTCAAAGAAAAACTGCGAAAAACATCGAAACTTACTGGAAATTATCCGCGGAACGATGAAAATGTGTTCATCAAACAACACAAGTTACCGGAAAAGAACAACTTTAGCGTTTGACATATGAGTTTCCGTTTGAGAGACGTTTTCCGCGGCGTCGCTTCCAAATGGTTCATTTGGCTTGCGATTCGAAGTGGAAAAATGCGGGCGCATTTTATTTTCGAAAATCACGCTTCAAACGCGCGCTTTATTCACAATATGCGTTGTTAAGCAACGAACATGTTTATTGATTTCATATGCGAGACTTGTTCAACTTTCGTGAAAAAATATCTATTTTTGCTTCTTTCCTAAGATTACATATCTCAAGCAGAAAAACAATGGAAGACGAAGATTTCGTTGAAACCGAAACTACAGTTGTAAAGTCGGGACCATCTTTGCCAAATTTACTTGGAGTCGTTGCTCATGCAGTGATCGACGATAGATCACACAGTATGATAGAGAATTTAGCCAAACGAAAGAAATACGTTAAACCGTATGATGAGATTCTTTTTTCATTGTTCTACTAGCGTTTAGTGATTATTTTTTATATTTGACAGAATTTCGGAGAACTATTGCGATGACAAGGAAAGTATCAGACGTCGGTTGAACGAAAGCGATCGGGTAATTTCTGAGCTGCTCAGAGATGGTCGAGAGCTCATTCAAGACATTCGAGTAGCCAATGACAAACGAGAGGTCGAGAGACGTGTTAAGGAGGCCGAAATAAGGGAGGGTAATTGTCGAGTAAATCTTGGGGGGGGGGGGGGGGCAGAGAGGTTCTCCCAAAATCCCTTGATTAATTTTGAACACCCATTTACCTTCGCATTTTGATATTGCATGTTTTTTTTATATCTTCCCTTTCAAAGAACTTCTGGAGAAGTTGCAAACCGAATCAGCTGAAGCGGTCGCCAGATTTGAATCTATATCTGAGAAATGGTCTGAGTTAAAGGAGCTGAAGGACCCAATGGGTATCAATGACGAACTGCAATTGCAGAAAGACCGTATTCAAGAACTCATGAAACAAAAGGACATCATCATTGATGAATGCCGGAAGGAACTAAAACTGGCAGATGAACGATACACCCGGGACTTGCAAAAGCAAACGATGGACATACACAGTTTGGTGGAGCGCGTCGATAGTCAGATTGAAATCATGAAGCGTGCCTTCAAGGAACATTTGGAACTTTTGGAGAACACAAGTATGTAATTGAACCGCTCATCAGCCATGTTTAGTAAAACGTCACGTCTTTTGTAGTCGATGAAGAGAGACATATCTTACGAATGGCAGCTTCGAAAAAGTGGGATGACTTGTACTCACGACGTGCTGTTAATGAACGCATCAAAATGAAACAGGAAAAGGAACGGGTAAGTATATAGGGGAAACGGCTCTAATGTTGGCCTATGAATCTAAGATTGGGCCCATGGCTAAAAATCTGCTATTTATCAATTTTATCTAGATGAACGCGTCATTGGAACGGTACTAATGGATATTTTTGGTCGCTATTGAAAATTTAGACGATTGCTGAATTTATGTATGGGCCCAAATAAGGGGCATTTAGGCCGACATTACATCCATTTCCCCTATATGTTATATCATTATCATTATTATATCATATTTGCCAATGCCGCAACAAATTAAAAAGAGATATAAATCCATGGTAGGTATATACATGGTGATACAGGAGGTCGGGGGGGGGGGGGGGGGGAAGTGGGGTTTTAGAGCAAATTGTAAACAAACTCGGTCGCTGTCCCATACAAAAATCCAACATGGCTGAATCATGAATTTGACACATTAGAACACCTATATGTAGTCACCTTGATATAAATCCCTCAAATTTTCCAGTTGGAATTCTACCGCGACGAAATCGACCGCATCGAACAGGAACACATTGAAATCACACGAGCAACCCGTATTAGATTGGAACAAGACAATCAAGCGTTGGAAATCGAGCTGCAAAAAGTCAAAACCAACACTACGTTGAACACGGAAAAGCTTGATTATAATTTTCAAGTTTTGAAGAAACGTGAAGATGAGAACCTGATGGTTCGAAATGCACAAAAAAGAAGATTGACTAAACTGAATGAAACCATATTCGTCTTGAGAAGAAAGATCAAAGATGTGCAGATGAATTGTCTGATTGAGACGGAAAAACTTACATCTGATGTAATGAAGCTACGTTTTAACATCAGTCACATGAGCACAAAAGTCAATACATTCGCTGAAGTGAATGATAAAAAGGTTTTTTTCTTTATAGTACTATGCATTTGAATAGAACACTAACTATTAGATTTATTACAGTATCACTCTGTTTGGCAGATGAACAGAAGTGAATGTTCGGATGTTTTGAAAAGCATATTGGAAATCGATAAAATACTTGTTGAACAACATTTAGGATTGAAGTGGCAAGCACCTTGCCTACCAGATGACCATGCTCAGAAGCTACCCGACAAGATGGGTTCATTTGTTAGTGAAAGCACTCTTGTACAATCACAAAGCAAGTTGCTTGTATCATTTCGATGATTCTGATTTACTCATGGTTATATTTTTAGTGAGCACGTCATTACAGGCTTTTGAAGATTTGAATGAGCGGAAGCAAATATTGGATATTCTGCAAATCGTACTAAAACAGGCAGGATTTCTTGTAGATAAGACAGCTTTGAAGCTTATAGAACAGCACACTGAAGATGATCAGAACCTCGTTTGTTTGGACAATGTTTTCAGTGCGTTGGGAATTTCAAATTGGAATGATGTTCGAAAACTGAAAGAAAAATTTGAAGAAGTAATGAAATCTCGGTATCGTTGCACAAATGATTCTTTCACAAAATCAGATGAGTCTTGTACATCACAGAGTGATCAAGCTGAGGATCAAATTAAGGTACAAGTGTATTTATAAACCAACAAGAATTATATTAAGCTATTTGTTATGCTTATGAATAGGCAATAACTGATGGAGATGTGAGCGATTCGGAAATGAGTTCAATATTGGTACCGTCTGAAAAATTGCGCTCGCTTAAAATTTTTTCCCAGCAGTTGGCCAATGCGGATACAACGTAAGTAAACGTCTATTTTAGTAATCGAATGTCTCCTGGTTGATTCAATGTTTATCTTCAGCGTACCACCATCTAATTATGGAGGCCTATCGCGGAAAATTTCAGTAAAAGAAGTGAAGGATTATTGGGTCAATTTCAAAAATCTGTTCTCACCTGATAGGGTGAAGGTATGGAACACTTTGGAAGATAATTTGACTCAATATTTGAAGGTGAATTTTAAGTAGTGCTTTCTCGATTACACGCATCAACATTAATCCGAATATGTTTACAGATTTTAAAGGAGCGGAAAGGCTTAGATGAAGAATGTGAGTTTTTGAGAAAACAAAATATGGAATTGCAACATTTAATGCAGAAAATGCTGGCACCAAAGAAGGATTTTATCGAATGATTTAATAAATTTCAGCAGATTTCTCCTTAGTACGCTACTAGAAATTCTTTACTCACATCTAGAAATAGGGACTATCGATAAAACAAACTGGACGGCCATCGGTATACTCAGTAAACATTCTTCGATTCATTATGGCAAATGTCTAGTTAGAGAGACTCATAACCTCGTTTATTTGGCTCATATAAGTAAAAATCACTGTAAAATCTCATAAAGTTCATGAGATACAATGAAAGTATATGTTATCTGACGTGTATAAGCTATGTTCATAAACACACACAGACACACAGAAACACACACACACACACACACAGGGCTACAAATGGTGAATTGACAACCTGGTAAGAGCGTTTTTCCTATCTCTGGTCCTCACAAGTTCCTACCTCACACCTCCCCGTGGTGTAGCCTGGGCAATGTTGTCCTTCTGACAATAGCAAAGTGAGGGGGTGCGACGCGAACACTGGCGCGGTAACCATAACACGGCGATCGAGGAAATGCTTCGTCAACCCGCAGGAGTGCCAACCGGCACATTAGGATCGACGCCAGTAAGATCCTTATTATGGCATACTGGATACGGCATGGAACTATGGACACGACACGGTACAATGGATTGGATACCACGCTACAGGGCTGACAGTCGTGCTATTCTGCTCCCTAAGTAAAGAAGGGTGACACCTTCTTGAAATGGCGAGTGGGCTAATAGTGCGGCTGCCCCCGTCCCGGTAAAACCTTGGCAGGCCTCCGGATACGTTCAAAACTCGTCACCAATTGGTGATTGGTGAGTAGTAGACTCAGATGTAACATTCCTGACTTACGCCGATCTGGCTCTGAACACGGCCCCCATGAAGGACCGTGTCAACCCTAGCATGGCCTCCCTGCTTGCATAGATAACCATGGGATCACGATAGGCGACTACATACAACGAGTGGAGATAGCGGCCCGGAGGGGGGACCCAACAGAATGGAGAAAAACGGAGAAAAAAACAAAAAAGAAGAAAATGAGAAAACCCAAAAAAATATGAAGGACGACGGCAAGACGCCAGAAATTGAAAACGGAGGAGCGAACGTGTTCGCAAGGAGCGGGATATTGCAGAGATCACCAGTGTTGAACCTGGAGGCAACAGAGAGTTCCAACAGCAGCAGTAAGCCCCAAGGTGAGCAGCAAGGACACCAAGGAGAGCTAGGTCTTATGCTAAGCCAGGTGTTCACACCGAAATCCAGCAGTAGCACACCCCAAGAAGGATTGCAGCTTGGGAAGACCAAATTGATGGAGGTCAGGAGGAGGATCAATGAACTCCATGACTTCATCAAGGATAAGAGCAACGTCCACAAGGCAATAAAGGAAATGGTGACGGGCATCAAATCCGCCATTATTGCTGCCGAACGTGAACAGGATGCGCTGAGGACGAGGTCCGTAACTGCCGAAAGGGCACTGATCGAGGCCAAGGAGAAAGCAGCAGCTGAAATACAGGAGACGCCAAAGGGACCTCGAAATCCACGCTCGGAGAAGAGGAAAAGGGAAACTCCAGGAGAGGAAGAGGAGTTGAAAAAAGTCAAGAACGACAAAGAAGACAACAAGGAGGAAGGCTGGCGTACCGTCGAGAAGCCAAAGGAGAAGTGGAAAAAACGGAAGGAAAAAGACATGAAGAAGAAAGCTGAACAGAAGAAGGTGATACCCAGGACTCGTCGGGAGCGAAGTAAGGGCGATGCTCTGATCGTCGAAGCTAAGGACAAAACGTCGTATGCAGCACTCCTCCGGAAGGTACGAGAGGATCCGGAGTTGAAGCAACTAGGAGAGAACGTGGTGAAAACCAGGCGAACCCAGAAAGGCGAGATCCTCTTTGAGCTGAAGAAGGATCCTGCTATCAAGAGCTCAGCCTTCAAGGAGCTCGTCGAAAAGTCTCTTGGCGAAGGGGCAAGCGTAAGAGCTCTATCCCAGGACACAGTGGTCGAGTGCAGGGACCTGGACGAGATCACCACAGAAGAGGAGCTAAGAAGTGCGTTGAGAGTGCACTGCGATCTGGGAGATGTCCCGATGTCAATCCGCATGAGGAAGGCGTACGGCGGCATGCAAACGGCGGTTATACGGCTTTCGACAGCTGCAGCGAATAAGCTGTTGGAGACGGGCAAGGTCAAGGTTGGCTGGTCATTTTTTTTTTTTTTACTAGTTCGTTTATTTACTAGGCTCAGTCGTGTGTGACACTTTGCGGAGCCAAAATCAGTAATGTTTGATTTTACATTTTAAATAGCAGTAGTTCTAGGTTAGTATTGGGTACCAATTACTCGTGGCGGGCTCGAGGTTAATGGGTAACAATTTCGATGGGAAGGAGCTAGGTAGGAAACTGGTTTCTGAAGCCTCCTTCAGATACTACTCTCGGACGGTTGACCAAATCCTGGCTGGGCAGGGGCAAGTAGCACAGGAACAGGAGGATAATAAGACTGGGACACAATGGCGGGAAATTGTTTGGAAAGGATGGGATGGTCACATCAAACTCTAACATCAGACAAACAAAGGAATTCGTAGATCGCTTGCATGTAGGGAAGATCACGTGTTCCCAATACATCTCTTACTTCACGGAAGGGTTGTCTACCTCGGGCCACTAGGGTATCCAATAGTCGTGCTCTGGAGGCGTCATTACCCGGGCAATACCAAACTGCGTGATCGATGTCATCATAACCGGTTCTGCACCTACATATATTGCTGTCAACGAGGTTTATTCTATAGAGATGTGCGTCTAGCGAGTAGTGGTTGGACATAAGTCTTGACATCACTCGAATGAATCCCCGACTTACATCCAGACCTTTGAACCACGCTCTCGAAGAAACATTTGGAATAATGGAATGTAACCACCGCCCAAGAGAATTACTTGTCCAATCGTTTTGCCAACTTAAAAGAGAACTCTGACGTACTAATGGGAAAAATTCATCATGTGAAAGTCTTCTATCATAAATCTCGCCTTGTTGTGCGCCCACCTTTGCGAGAGAGTCTGCCTTCTCATTGCCTGGGATTGAGCAATGTGAGGGGACCCATACAAAGGTAATCATATATGATCTTTCGACCAGCAAACTCATCTGCTCCCTTACCTTTGAAAGGAAATAAGATGAGTGCCTACCTTGTTTCATCGACCGAATAGCCTCAATCGAACTGAGACTATCCGAGAAGATGAAGTAATGGTCTATGGGCATATCGGAAATCATCCCCAATGCGAAGTTGATTGCTGCTAGCTCAGCAACATAAACGGAACAAGGTTCCTGAAGTTTCCGAAAGGCGGTTGAGTATTCATTGAAGACGCCGAAGCCAGTGGATCCATCAATGCGTGATCCATCAGTGAAAAATCTTCTATTGCAATTGACTTGTTGGTACTTTTCAGCGAAAATGCGGGGAATTAAGATAGGTCGAAGTTGATCTGGAACTCCTTGAATAGCCTGTTTCATGGAGAGATCATAGTCAATGGGGGAACTGTAGTTAGTAAAGCATACACGAGAGGGGTTATAGCAAGGAAGGCTAATATCCGATGACATATAATTAAGATAGATTCGCACGAATCTAGACTGGATGCTCAATTCGAGCATTTCTTCGAAGTTTTCAATCACAAGGTTGTTACTGACACTACATTTGATCAATAATCTTAATGAGAGCTCCCAGAAACGGTTCTGCAGGGGTTTTACGCCCGCTAGGACCTCTAGGCTCATATTGTGTGTTGAATGCATACAGCCAAGGGCAATACGTAAACAACGATATTGAATGCGTTCCAATTTAATTAGGTGGGTTTTTCTTGCCGAGAGGAAGCAAAAAGAGCCATACTCAAGAACTGAAAGAATAGTCGTTTTATATAGTTTAATGAGGTCTTCCGGGTGAGCACCCCACCATGTCCCAGAAATTGATCGTAGAAAGTTGATCCTTTGTTGACACTTTTGTTTCAAATACGTAATGTGGGTACCCCAAGTGCATTTTGAATCAAACCAGACTCCAAGGTATTTGAAGGTTAAAGATTGGGTAATGTCTCTGCCCAAAAGATTTAGACGCAGTTGGGCTGGAAACCGCTTCCTTGTAAACACTACCAATTCAGTTTTTTGCGGTGAAAACTCGATCCCTAAATTTCTTGCCCAGAAAGACAGATTATTTAGGGAATTTTGCAATGGTCTTTGCAAGATTTCCGCACGTGGACCTCTCATGGAAACCACGGCATCATCTGCAAGCTGTCTAAGCGTGCATTGATTATCTAAGCAGTTATCAATATCTTTGACATAGAAATTATAAAGTAAGGGACTTAAACATGAACCTTGGGGTAAGCCCATGTAGCTAATTCTAGAAGTTGTCAGTTGACCTAGATTGAAGGTCATTTGTTTTTCTGACAGCAAATTATACAAAAAATTATTCAAAATACCGGGTAATCCACTACTGTGCAAATTGTCTGACAGTATGTCTATGGAAACCGAATCAAATGCGCCCTTAATATCCAAAAAGACTGAAGCCAATTGCTCCTTGTGCGCAAAGGCCAGTTGAATATCAGATGAAAGCATCGCTAGACAATCGTTTGTTCCTTTACTCTTTCGGAAACCAAATTGCGTATTTGAAAGTAGATTGTTTGATTCAACCCAATGGTCAAGTCTTAATAGGATCATTTTTTCTAATAATTTCCTCAGGCATGATAACATAGAGATCGGACGGTAAGAATTGTGATCAGACGCTGGTTTCCCAGGCTTTTGAATAGCTATTACTTTAACCTGTCTCCATGCTGGTGGAACTATATTGAATTCCATAAATGAATTATACAGGTTAAGTAATCGTCTTTTAGCGATATCAGGGAGGTTTTTTAGAAGGTCGAATTTGATCATATCGCTACCCGGAGCAGAGTTATTCGATGAAAGAAGTGCCATTGAAAATTCCAGCATTGTGAATGGTTCATCCAGAGAACCGTTACTTCGGGCTGTATCCCGTAAAGTTGGTTGTGCTGGAACAGAATCTGGACAAACCTTTTTAGCGAAGTCGAATATCCATTGTG